TGGTCCTCATCGCGTCATACGTTCTCTTTTTCCGGGTCCGATTTTATCCTAAAACAATTAAATTTGGTCTCAGTTTAAGTTCAAAATATGTTTATTTGAAACTAACTTTAAATTATTTTTTACTTTTCACAATTTAATTCTTGGTCTCATTATTAGGTCACACGACCCCGATCATCTCGTAATACGTAACAAATTTGACTGTCTCAAAATTCAACAAAAATTGACTGAGTAACTAGATTTCGCGAGATGAATCCAACGGTGAGGTTCGTTTCATCACCTGAGTTCTAGAAAAATTCGAGTTTTCTACTCGTACCTTAGTGACAAATTATCGTTTTACCATTTTTTCATAAATTCAAATTTTCTCGGTTTTTATAAACAAGGTTATGGTGGACAAATCAACTACATTTAATGACTATCAATTCAAATAGCTGTTAAATGATTATGAAATTAATTCAAGAAAAAAGGGGGTCAGAGTTGACAAATCAATTACCTTAAAAAAAACAATTTTAGATGGTTGTTAAGTGATTATAATAAAAAGAAGATTCGAGATAAACACTCAGACAAATCAAATTCCATTCTTTATAAAAAAAAAATCAATTCCATTAGAAAAAGAAGAATTCGTGAGAAACAAGGTCATGGTGGACAAAAATGGTTGTTTTCCTTGAATTTATTCTTATCCCTGCACCATAGTAAAAGTTCAATAATGAAGCACCCATCAACTAACAATATTTCCACTGAGACAGTTTTACTATAGTCGATATGTTTAGCATAACATCGGCGAGCAGTTTCTTGAATTCTTTTCGCGAAATAATATTTTGAATTTATTTTGAATTATTTATTTTTGTGACGATTTAATGCTTTCTACGGAAAAAAATACTTGTTGTAAAAAATTTGTCATTTCCCGCCATTTCTCACGCTAGAAAAATTGGGAGTGAACGCTATTTCACAACGCACTTGGAAAAAAAAAGTCGCAATAAAATTATCAAAATAGAAATTTGTAACAAAATTATAAAATCAATGCAGATAGTATACTTTTTGTGATGTTTTTAATTCATCACTAAAAAAAATCGTCGCAAAAATATTTTTTTTGTAGTGGGTCATCCGGCCATTGAGTTTTCATTTATTGACTTAATTCATTTTAATTATTGGATTGACTATAGATTCATATTAAACATTGGTGAATCAACTATTCTAATAAATGACTTTTCCTTGATTGTTTGATGAAGATGCTTTCGTAGCATACATATATCATCATATAGCGTACATAGTCAAGCATTCTCAAACTCTAAATACAACTCATAACATAATCAGCTTGAAATGCTCAGATTATACCAAGCTACACAGTGCTATAACTAGTGTACAAATCCCTGCCATGACAACACATATTTAGCAGTTTTTCATTGGAGAGAAACTTCCACTTTTAACTTCTCCTATTGGGTTGGTTGTACTTGTAGAGAAACTAAATGTTAGAAGCCTAATAGTTCTCACTGCAAGAAATTGGTCTTTCAACCGCATAAATTAATGTGGCTAAATGTATAAAAATTGCCACCATATACTTTAGTGACAACTTTTTAATTGCCACTGAGCTACAGCAATATGTGTGTGGTTAAATCATTTAATTGTTGCCACTAAAAGTAAATTTTTTAGCAGTACCATGAAAAATATCACAAAATGTAAAATTTTTAATTTTTAGCCACCATAATTATTGTAGCAAGTTAACGTAATTTTGCCACTAAAATATACTATATCACAACTAAAACCTGACTTTTAGTAACAATAATTAATTGCAGCTAAAAGTATACATTTTACTCCATTAAAATCACTGCTAAAATTTGAAACATGATTTTTTGACAACTTATTGTCGTTACTAATTAATACATTAAAATGAACAAAGAAACTTTTCGCATATTTGAAATAATTTATTTTTTAATATTTTCAAATTTCACATACCTGTTATAGTTTAATGAATCAATATATATAACTACTGAAAAAAAAAAACAACATAATAAACTCTCACTTTCAAAGATATAATTCCCAAATCAAATCACGTGAAAATAATATTATGATATTAGCATCGTTAAATTGTCTGTATACAACGCATCATCATCAAAGAATAGGAATGAACAAAAAAGATTATGATCATATTTTCAAATTGTGTCCTACCAACTAGACAATGATATCCACTCAAAATAAAGTAATTGCATAACAATCAAATCTCAACTACATATTCGTTTTCTGGCAAATTATTAGATCTTTTGTCTTTAGTCTTCGGAGGCGAGCCTTCAAAAGCTATTTTCAGAGCTTCCACTAGTTTGTACTTAACATAAATTATCCAACATTAATAGAAATTCATTGAAGAAAATCAAGCGAAAACATATTGCAGATGATTCAAATATATATCAAGACAACATTACTAGTTTGCTCAATGTAAAGATATTATACCAGCTAGTACAAATTCTAATCTACCAGGTTGTTCCAGTGATAGATGCAGAGAACCCAAATTGTGAGAATATCAGTCTACTTGAGTAAGTAAAATGAACAAATGCAAATAAGCATACAAGTCTACTTGATCACAGACAATGCAAATAGGCATCAAAGATTGACTCTACTAGTTCTTGAATTCCATTTTCAATTTTTCATAAATAAAACAGAAAACAGAAACAATACCAAGAATATGATCAGCACCGTAAATGAAGCGTTCAACCCATAAAATTAAGACTACTAATCCATGAAATATAACTTTTCCAATTTAAGAGATATTACCATATCACAATGAAGTGAGGTAAGAATTTGCCCTGACTCTTTCATTTGTCGAAAAAGTGTGGTGAGCTGAGTTTGAAGCATGGCATGCACCTGTGTTTGTATCTCAACATGCATATTGGACTTTAAGGACTCTAGTCGCGAAGCCAAATCACTTATTTCGCTCTCCAACGACTCCCAACTCATCCTATTTGTCTTAGCTTGCCTCTTCAATTCCTCATTCTCCTTTTCTAGTTGTGCACGAATACGATGTTCAGTTGTAGATGTTGTGGGCTTTGGACCAGCCCCATGACCACAAATATATCCTTGTTTTTTTGAACCGAGTAGTACTTCAAATATCTAATCCTCTGTCATGGGGTGACCTCCTTCCTCCATTGATTGAGCCTCTAACCTTTTAAGATCGCTCTACATTTGGAAAGACTACAATCAATCAATTTAGCATTATGTATGAAGATTTTTCAAGGAAATGGAGAAGTATAAGATAACTTACATAGACTTCTCCCGATCTCCTGCCGGCCCAAGCATTCCTCTTCTTACTAAACTTGGTTGTTAACCATAGTTCCGTACAGTTAGGCTCCTCTCCAGTCTTGGGATCACGCTATCATGCATTAAACATTAATAGAAAAAATTTACATAAATATGCATGTATACATGAATATAATTAATCACATAAGTGAAATATACATTTAAAAAATAACTTGCGCTATTGTAACTAATTCAAGTGAAACTTTTCGTCCCTACAATATGACCCATGTCCTATTTTGCTCGATTCTCCTTGTTTCTTTCGCTCATTTTCTGCATTCAATAATTAAAAGCAAGTTTCAAGCTATAGTGGTGACAACTATTGAACAGTTCGAAACATGCAGGATTACTTAAAAGACTCCTGGACTTTTAACCACTAAAACATGAAAGTGAAAGACCTTGTTGCTTGGTGACTTGGCAGATAACAAAAACCAACACAGTCCAATATAAGAAACAACAGTAGCTATAATTAATTAATACACAAGCAGTCCAACACAGTCCAAATCAACAAGCACCTTCATTCAGCAAATCAAAGTAGAGAGATGGGCTTACTAAAGCAATTCATAAAACTCCATTACTCCACACATAAGCTGAAAATTGAAATCAAAGAAAATCAGTTGCTGAATAGATTTATCTGCAATCACCGAGAGGTTGACAGATCATCATTGATATTATGCATGCACATAAAGAGAGAGAGAAGAGAAAGAGAAAGAGAAAGTATATGCGTGATAATCGATGGTGGCACCTTAATCTTCTTCTCAGCAATTTTCAAAATAAGCTCAACGTTCTCAATAACTAGGGCGTTAGTGGCGATGGAGATGTCTTCGAGAGAGTCTTCAAACCAGTGGGAATCGTGACGACGAAGGAGTTGAGAGAGAGATGATCAAGAGAGACGGTGCAAGTACTTTTAGGAGAAAGATTTAACACGTGAAGAGACAGCGTTTTCTATTAAATGCCCAAATTTCTTATAGTATACTAAAATTGACATTCAGTGCCAAAAAAAAATTAAATTGCAGCTTAAAACAGGGCATAGTTGCTGCAACTGAAAAGTGTTATCACTAATATTTTATATTATTAGTGACTAAATTTAAATTATTGTCGCTAAATATTTGGAATTAGTGATGAATTAATAATATATTTTTGTTGCAACATTTAAATTGTCACTAATTAGATGCATTCTCATATATTTAGTGACAACAATACTTTTTCACCACTAATTATATATCTTTAGTAGTGACAAATTATTTTGGGAACTAAATAATTTCAATATCATAGTTTTGATGGCAATAATAATTTTTTGCCACTAAACATATTCATTCAATGACAATATTTGTAGTTGCAATTTAAATCTAGTGGCTAAAAGTGATTTTTTTTTTTTGTAGTGTCTTGTGCTTCCCGAGATGAAAGCACTTAAAATATAAGGCAGGAAACGAAAATAACTTTGGTTATTAGAGGGAACCTCTAAGCTTCAGGCAATAATGAACATAACATTCATTGAATAATTTTCCAATAATAAAAACTTATTGATGCGTTTACAAATTATTGACTTAATTTAAAGATAAAATAATCCAAAGAACCTCTAGCCTAAGCTAGAGGATAAGGTGGTTCAAGGAGGAGAAGATAAGATAACCCCAATCTCCACTACATCCTTAATTATTCCAACTAAAGATAAGACTGACTTTTTAAAGTATGCCATTCACACTTTGGCACATAAGACTGACTTTTTAAAGTTCATCGTGGTCACGGTCAGCATCAGGTTTAGCGTGATCATGAACGTCAAGACCACGATTTTTTCGAGGCAAGATCCTACGTAAAGAGGGCCAATTGGGAAGGATATTCTTCACGCCATCAATGATGTAGTCGTCTAGGGTGGCAGGAGCAAAGCTAATGAGTGCGTAGGAATCTCCTTTGAATAGGTATGCCTCATTAGTCCTGTGCGAAGCAAACGCTGCATCAATTCCACTTTTAAAGATTGTGTTTTTCAAACGAGGAAAGCCATTAGCGATGAGACGGATGGCGATGAGGCGGGAATTAGAACCGTAGTTTATAAGAGCATATTGGTTGTCTTTGAAGAGGTAAGCTTCATATTTTGTTGTTGCCTCAAATGCGGCATCTACGCTGCTTTCGAATGCCGTCCCTTTGAAGAAGGGGAACATTGCAGTGATGGTCATCGGGCCTCTGATTATCTTGTCATTTGTGGCGTGTGGTGTGTAATTAATATGTGCACAGAGATTGCTAGAGAAGATGAGTGCTTCATCCCCATGATGAGACCCAAAAGCACAATCTATTCCATGTTCTGCAAAGGCTGTGCTTGTGAGGGATGGGTATCCATCACAGATAAGAAGCGGTCCATTCAACACCTTGTCATTTGTCGTGCCTGGAGCATAGTTTAGTAGCACATACTCGTTCTTCATGAATATATAGGCTTCATTTGTTTTAGACGAACGAAATGCAGCATCTATGTAACTCTCATACTTAGCCACATCGCGAGCATACCAATCCATGGGGTTGCCAGAGTTAGTGGACACTTCTCATTTCTCTCGATCGGAGACGGAACGACGTTGGTAAATGCTAATGGCTAGAGGCGGCCTCCTACCATTTTCATCCACGTAATCAAATATTGGCCTTTGAATGTTGAGCAATCTTGGTGGATGTGATTGTGGATCATAGTACCCATTTACTCTTATTACATTATCTACTCTCTCCCGTCTTGTAAACCTGCATGCATCGCACAACTGTTGTTACGTAAGCCCTTAATTTTCCCTTTGCAATATATAAATTTGTTATCTCACTAATATACAGGGGCGGATTCACACTGAAATTTTAAAAGTTTTTAGGGATTAAGTATAATTTTAAAAAATTTAGAATTTATTAGATATTTGTCCCACTGAATTTTTTTTAAAAGATTTAAGGGTAGTTATGTTATTATGACAAATATATGAGTCTCACTTATAAATATCAATGGAATATGATATCAAAAATTTGGACATTTAAAGATTAACTAATATGTTACAAAATATGTTAGCCCTCTCATTTGTTTTATGTTTATACATCGAACTAAATTTAGGACTTGTAATCCTCTTCTTTGTTTTATGTTTATATGTTAGAATTGAAAATTAGGGTTTGTAGCCCTCTTTTGTAGTTTATTTTTTAAATGTTGAATTAAAATTAGCGCTTGTAGCTCTCTATTGTATTTTATTTGTTACATGTTGAATTGCAAATATAAAATTGGGGCTTCTTATGTTTTATTTTTTATGTATTAAATTGAAACTAGGATTTGTAGTCTTGTATTTATTTTTCTATGTTGAAATAAAATTGGGGGTTGTAGTCCTCTTCTATGATTTATTTTTTTATATATTTAATTGATATTTGAGTTTATAGTCCTCTCTAATATTTTATTTTTATATGTTGAATTGGAATTAGGACTTGTAGTCTTCTCATTTGTTTTATTTTTATTTGTAGAATTAAAATTAGGACTTGTAGTCCTCAATTATAATTAAACTACATTATTTTGATTTGGTAGTTTGAACAGTTTTATTGTGATAAGTTAAATACTTCATATACCTAGGTTTAGTTTACTAGAATAATTATAGTTTAAGTTAGTTTCGATTGTTTGTTAAAATTTAATGATGAATATTAAGTTTGTAATTGAACAAATTAATTTTTGAATTAGTTATGAATTTTTTTTTTTAGATTTAATATATGATTGAGCCCAATTTTACGGTTTAAAATTTTTTTGTTAGATCTTATAGATAAATTTATAATGCGTTTTTTTTGTTGGCTCATTTTGTATATTGCTCATATATATGAATTGCGTTTTTAATTGATGTTCTATTAATAAAATTATACTTTTGTGAATATTTTAAATTTTAATATTAATTTAGTTTAAATTTCCCCCCACCGGAGAATATGTCTGGCTCGTACCTGCTAATATATTAAACTTATCTAAGCAAAACAAGTTGTAGTCAGTGAAAATGGATAAGAAGAAATATTGAAGTTCTGAAGTGTAGGGTAACAGGTAACCTCGCGTCACCACGAATAAGCCTGAAGCGTTGGGCAGACCGAATGTATTGAGGGGCAATGCCAGCAACAAAGCAAACCTCATCTTGGGAAGGGTACTGGTAACGTTCACCAAGAGTCTCAGCAACCCAAATGCCACCAGGAGCATATATCTCGTATCGATATACTTCCATCTCAGTCTCAGGGTCGAGGCTAGGATGCCAACTGCTGCTAAGTGTGGTGCTAACGAAGGCATGGGTGGCGGGCCGGCTGGAATCAAGAGGCCTACCGCCATGATGGACATAGTGATCCAAATTGAAGTAGATTTCATCTAAAGTGCCTTCTTGACGCCTTGCTTGGAAACCATTCTGAAAAACCTCCTGATAGGGGGTAAGATCCCAGCGAAAGACATGGCGGAGGATGTCTACTTCTCTATTGCTGCTTCTGTACACTATGTCAGGCAAAGGGGGGGTCTACAATACGACAATTAAAGTAGTAAACAGTTTCTACCAAAAATTGAGCTCCAAGCTCACTTTCTTCACTGACAGGTTGAGGAAAGTTTGCTGCACATCCTCTCCATGATGAGTTCCACGGGATAGACATTTTGTTCTCTTACCTGTAAAATTAATTTAAAAGTGATGTAATCATTGCCAACGTTCCTTTTCAATCAAATGAACGAATGAAAACACACTCGTTAGTACTGATCTCCAAAAACCCCATGCTATGATCTTGCATCAAATAATCAACATGACAAAACTTCAACCCAGAGTCACTCAACACAATAGATAAAAACTAACATCAACAAGAGATAATTACATAAAACTACATCACCTTAATCGAAATAAAACCCAACAAACTTTGACTGATGATCGATGAGGAAATTAACCTGAAGGACAAGGGGGTATGTATAGTAGTTAAGCCTTAGCAAGTGAGCAGGATATCGACATGGATGCAGAAGAAAATTTGTGAAAAAGGATATCAACCAATACTACCAGCTGAAGGCACAGAAAAGTCCACAAAAGAGGTCTACATTTTTCTTCATGCATAATAAGTACAAAATTGGTCCACCGCAATCTCATGACTTGAGGTAAATGTAACATATTTCACATATAGTTCACAGCTGGAAGATTTGTTCTCTCTTATCTCCCAAGAGAATTAATTCTTTACAAGCAGCCCGTAAATAATTTATTTACAAGTAATTAATTAAAATTTGTTAAGGTACTTAAGAAATGATGGGTCCAGCCCATGTGAAAGGGTTGGGTCCACGGTCGATAAGGTACTTAAGAAATGATGGCCACAACTACATTAAAAATCAAAATTCCCATTGTATTGAATAAGACCCATCAATGCAACTAGTCATTGAGAGGAAATATCTCGAGGAGAAGACAAAAGTGAGCATTCAACAATAATTGTAGGTTAAAGACTCTTGACTTCTCTTATAAACAACTCAATAAAATTGTAGGTTGAATTGAGATCAATTTAATTATATTTATTTTATATCAAAATAAAATTAATTATATACAAATGAGTACTTATAACTACAATGAATAAAAAAATGTCAAAGATTACATAAATCTGATAAGGCAATGCCACTTTGATGATATAATGACTTAAAAGGTTTCTATTGTTTTTAGGTGCCGTGGCTTTTCTTAACAATGAGTTTGAAATTTTTTTCAATATATTTCTCTCTCTGGGTTAAAATAAACGGATTCCATGCTTTTGGATTGAAAAAAAGAAAAGCTCTCTCTCTCTCTCTCTCTTAGGGCTAAGAAAAAAGGGTTTCATGCTTTTGGAAAAAAGAAAAACTTTTATCTTACGTACATATGTTCACGAATTATTTTACGTTGAATTTTCTTTGCAAGAATACGTAACTTAGCATAAGCATAAACTATGATGTGGTACATGATTCTAATAAAATCCAAGACTTTACTATGCAATCGGATAAAGTTTTTTACAATTGCTTAAATGTTGGTATGATTTTTTAAGAGAAGTTGGGTACAGATGGACATATCAACTACATTTAACAACTATTTTCTTGAATGATTGTTGGATCTATCACAGATTTTGCTGTCACACCCCAAAGCTTGGCGCATTGCTAGAATAGCTGTTTCCTCATTAGCTAAGACTTAGGGATGTAAATGTCTCATGATATATTGTGTCATCCATTTAAATTATTTAAACTGTATTGTAACAAAATCTATGGGAGCTAAACTCCACCCCCCCCCCCCCCCCCAAAAAAAAAAAAAATCTACTCACACACTTGAAAGAACCTTTTAAAGATCAGGGATTTCCTAAGACCTATAATGGTGCACATTATAGGAAATGGGCCGCATACAAGCTTTTGGCATGACAGTTGGCATCCATATGAACCCCTGTTACCAAGCAGCAGCCCTAATATAGTGCAACAAGCAAGAATTCCAAGGAAAGCGAGAATCAGTAAAATTATAGCCAACAACCAATGGAGCAGAGTTACTTTTACTCATCTAATTGTGTAGAATATTTTTAACAACATGCCAACCTACCGTCATGATCAAACCAAAAAATGACTCAGTGAGATGGACCCTTACCACCGGTGGGAATTACTCTGCCAAATTTGCATGGGATCACTTGAGGATTGCTACTGGTATGTTCTCTTGGCATAAATTGGTATGGTTCAGCCAGTCTATTCCTTCAATGGTCTTCATCCTTTGGTTATCCATTTAAAATTAGATTGAGCACTAAAGATAAAATCCAAACTTTCTCAAAAGACGTGGGCACTCAATGCGTGTTTGTGTAGAATGGCAAATGAAACTCACATCCACCTCTTCTTTGAATGTGACTACTCCTTTAGAGTTTAAAACTCCATTCTTCTCCAGAGCAATCAACAAGGACAGCAAAGGCAATGGCCTAATTTAATTGAATGGGCCGCTCAACAGTGGAAAGGCAAGAAGATGACCACTATTATCTTGAAGATCAGTCATTCTACTACTGTTTTATCATTTATGGAAAGAAAGAAATGCTAGAATCTTTAAAAACTAGACTGCTGACTTTCATACTCTCTGCACGATGGTTAAGTAGACTATTAGCGAGATGATGCTTACTTGAAATTCAAGCGCAGCCACCAAAATGTCTTGACCTTGCTTCAATGGAACCTGCCTGATACATGTCTCCATTAACTCTGATTATGAAGCTTACTGCATCAAAGAACTGAAGCTTACAAGGCTTTTCCTCCACCCATCTTGGTAAGGGATTCTTGGGGAAGTGCTGGCTCAAGGCCTTTACTTCCCTCAGAATTCCTTTCTTAAGATGGATTTTTGTTTTAGTTTTTTTGCTTTTGAGGGGATCCTTTTCCCGTAAAGTTCCATACTTTGGTTGTTGTATGTTTTGTCCTATTTCAAGTTATTTTACTTTTCGAAAACAAAAAATCTCTTCAATTCAACTTCAATTCGTTTATAATTGTGCATAAATAGATTTATGTCAAAACGTCCTATACTGTATAGATTGTATTTGGTTAAGTTCGAATCAAATTAAATTATATGAAAATATATATATAATTGATTTTATTATAATAATTAGACATAAAATTAAAAATCTAAAAAAAATTGTCAGATGTTAACATTTATAAAAAATATAAATAAGATGTCAGAGGGTTAGGTCAACAATGGATAGCGTACGTCATTAAGAAATGTCCACAACAACCTCAGCTAAAATCAACGGCCACGTCGCATTGAAGAAGACCCATCAACGTCCACGTCCACGTCGCACTGAACAATTTGCAGCCCATGTGAAAAGGTTGGGTCCACCGTCCACGGTCGATATAGTCCTTAAGAAATGATGTTCAGAACTACATTAAAAATCAAAGTCCCCGTCGTACTGAAGACTCACGCCTTTTCTCATAAACAATGCAATACCTCCCTTGGTTGGATTGAGCTCAATTTTAATATATTTATTTTTTTTATCATTTTTGATAAAAAAAAAAATAATTATATAATTACCAACTTCAATCCATTTATACTTGTGCATAAGCATATTCATGTCAAAAGGGCCTATATTGTATATATTATATTTGGTTAGGTTCGAATCAATTTATTTTTTTCAATGTCTAACAAGTTCAGCCTCTTATAACATGAATGAAACCCAAGTTTAGAGCCTTCATTAAGGCAGCTCATTGAGTCGCTGTCACAATGTTAAACAGTTCACTCCTGTTAAATTGGTTAGGCTCTCTCTCCCAAGTTTTTAGCTTTATTTTTGACTGATTGTAATCTCAATTTTCTTACTTAAGGATACAATCTCTTTGTTTGCATTGATAAAAAAAACTATATGTTTGCCAAAAAAAAAAAAGGGGGGGGGGGTTGGGAATTAGATGATTGGAGAATTTTTTTTTTTTTGTCGGAATGTAAACTTGTAAATACAAGTTCGGTATGTACTTTACCCAATCCCAACTCTGACATCCCAAAGAATAACTTATTACATTTTTTGTTGGGGGGCTGATACCCAGTTCTGGGGAAAGGTTCCCTGCCTACACTGTGAGGCCACCATATGCGCCAAGGAGTTGAAGGATCTTTTCACATGGCAGAATTTCACCTCTGTAAGCTGTTGTGCATAGTAGTATATATCCTGCTGGATTGCTTCAATCTCCCTAATTGGTGCTATAGAGCTTTGGTTTAGCGAACCAATAAGGCTCTTAGAATCCGACTCAATAATCACAGCTAGGTGTCCATACTCCACTGCCATTCTACATGCTCTTCTTATTGCGCTAGCTTCAGTTGCCAATGGTGATGCCGCTGTCACATTTGCCGATGCCCCATCTATAAGCTGCCCGTTATGGTTGCGCATTACCACAGTGTATGAGGCTTTCCTGTTTTTCTCCACAAAGGCTCCGTCACAATTGATTTTTACCCACGCCGTTGGAGGGGGAGTCCATTCCACCTCTGTTTGAGGTTGAGTTCGTTCTTCAATGGCCAAGAATCTATGGAATGTAATCAAACCCCAGGGGAACTCTGCGTGGTCCTTTTGGGTGGCAACTTACTTCCTGAGGGGTAGAAGTTTTTGGAGCATCAGGAGCCCGCAAAACCCTTCTTGGGCATGGAGGAAAATTCTGCAATTGAGGGACCAATGCTTACCATATGTGAGATACAATATTGGTAATGGCAGATCGACATTCTTGTGGTTGGACCCATGGCATCCCTCTGGCCCTATTTTGCAAAGTAGAGGAGAAGAATTATTAATGAATTAGGAGTTGACAGAGAAGCAAGAGTTAGCAGTATTGTTACTAATTCACAGTGGAAGTGGCCTGCTAATATGAGTGAGACAATGATGGAAGTGCAGAGGGGAATTACTCCTAGCTGGAGACCTGACTCGAATAGGGAGGATAATATACTTCGGCTGCTGGGCCCAAATTCTCTCTTTACATCTAATTCTGCTTGGGACACCTTTAGAATGAAGGGACAACAACGAACATGGGCCAAAATAGTGTGGTTCTCTGGTGCTGCTTCCAGCTTTAGTTTTATTTTATGGCTAGCAGTGCGGGAAAGATAGCCAACACAGGATAGTCTACTGGTAAAGGAGCAAGCAAAGAAAAGATGGTTATGGTTTTCCATGTCACTTCGACAAAAAACACAACAGGCTCTTTGTACGATACCATACGCCATGATTTTATCATCATTACAAATAAAGCGCAATGTGCAATGGCCAAGTGATTAATGGAAAGATTTTATTGAATGGTTTACAAGGAACATGGAAGGTAAGAAGCTAATTAATTTGATTGGCAAATAGATGTTGTCTACTCTAGTTTATAACATTTGGGTGGAAAGAAATCGCAGAATTTTCAGAAACTCGTACAAGGATGTTATGACTGTTTATAAGGAGATTGTGGAGGCCGTGGAGGCCATAAGACAGAAACTACACATGAATAGAGGTTTTGGGAGAACTTCTTCAAAATATATGGATGCAGGGACAATGGTCCTTACCAGAAACAATTTTCGAACCCCATGAAGTTATTGACTTGGGTGAGGCTAGATTTGATGCTATGGTTTTACTTGATGAATTTTGATGATGCAACGGATCTCTACATGCTTGACACAGGCTGCATGGGACTCTCATGCTGAGGGGGTCCTTTTCTGGTCTTTATCTTGGTGATGCTGTGTCCTACTATCCTATGTGCTGCTGTTCTGATGTTGCTGCTGCTGAAAGCTAGATGAGAAGTCAAGGTTTTTGGCTTGCTTGGCTGCTGTCCCAGGATGCTGAAAGGTTTTTGGTTCTTTTGTTGCTTCTTTGGGCTGATTGTGTTTTGTTGATGGAGATCATTGTATTTTTGGCGATGGTAGATCATCTGTCTCAGATGAATATGAATAGATGATTTGTCATCCCATTTCACTTTGCTTGTTTACTCCCTTTTTGGCATTTTGCTTTTTACATGGACGTATTTGTTGAACATACGGATCATTGATCAATGAATTTCTTACTTACCAAAAAAAAAAAAATTCATTACAACCACAACTCTTGGACTTTCCGTACACTCCACTGAATTCTGTTTGTCTCCAACACTAGATCACATTCCATATTTATATGGGTCACACTCATTACATTAACCAACCACTACCTTCACTTAACTTAGGTAAACCCTAACATATTAAGATACCACTTTATCAGCACAATGACAAATTACTCATCTACAATATGATATATTAATTACGACAATTAGCCTACAAATATAGCTTATTAAAACACCTTAATCATATAATAATACTCTTAGTAACAAATTTATTTTTCAACAATCCCTTCCTCCATGTACTGCTTAAACTTCTAACACCAAGACTCGGAGACTTGCAATAATCTTTGACACACTTTGATAATACTAAACGACAAGACTAAGAACGCATTGTGTATATAGTCTGTAAGAAAGTGAGGACCAGAAGCACAACGGCAGCAAACACTGAGGCAGCTCTCCACGGATTCGAGAAATAATCACGGAATAGTTCCAACAGGTAACGGCTGCACTTAACCAGCAGCAGAGCTTTAATTCTTTGACAATCCCACCTGGAGTTGGCATATACATTCACATTCTCACACAACTCTGTGAAATAGAAGTCTCTAAAAACAACTCCATTGCACATGCTGCTGAAAAAAGTTGAAGCGTCTTCAGCAGTCCCCGGAATCTTTGTTATGATCCCTTTGCCCCGAAGAAATATGATGTCATTGGACGATTGGATGAGTCTACTCATGAGCAAGACATATGAAGAAATGTGGTGTCTTGTGCGAAAGCTGCACTGCTCAAAAGCAATTAGGTTCCTCAAGCGTAAATCCGGTGTTTCATCAATGCTAAAAGGCGGAATCACCAATACGCCTTCATGGAATGATATATCGAGCAAACCACCTTGTGTACCCTTTTCAAACACAATTCCAGCTTCTGAAAGTTTTGTCGCATAATGTCTAAATCCCCAAACGTCATTGTCTTCAGGCTATTTTCTGGAAGACACACAAATGACAGGAATATTAGGTAGGTAAACTTTATGCAACATGTCAAGTAAATGCTTGTCGTCTTCATAGAGTTCCTTGGATATCCATGGCATCTGTGAATTGTGTACCAGCTGAAAGAAGAGCATAGCAATCTCTGGTAGCGAACAAGAACATGCTGATGCTAGTGGATCATTAGGTTTACTCTTCGACTTTAAAGTGGCAAACAACGTGAGAATAACAATAAATGGAATTTGGTTCTCGAGCAGGGCCAAATCACGTTGAATGGCAGGGACCATCCAAACATTGTTTGTAATGGGATCGTCTTTGTCCTTGAATTTCTTATCTGAGCACCTCAGAAGAAGTTCAAGAATGAAGCAACCATCAACTAGCAGTATTTCCACCAATGATGCCTCAGCCTCAGCCTCTTTGTAGCAGTTGATCGTATGTTCAGCATAATATTGACGAGCATTTTTTTTCTAATTTTGAGATAGCTATGACGCACTCACCCAAGTTCTTTTTTGGGTCGGATGTACGACAAAGTAGGCTTAACATGTACCCCCATTTGCGTTCTTCCATCGCTAGCAGGTCACTCTCGCCATGGTGAAAAGGTCCGATTGAGACAATACATGGCCTATATGCATTTTCCTTGAGTTTTCTAAGCTTGCTTGGAACCTTATAAATGCTTAAGTTGCTGCTTGGATTTTCCGTCAATTTACCAAGTTTCCGTTCAATCGGTTCTATCCATTTCACATGTTGATCAACTTCACTTGTGGAAGGATTGTTTGGTTGCACGGATTCTAAGCTTTTCTGTACGCTGGCTTTGGTTTCCATCTTCTCAGAACCATCTGCAACGAGTGGGAAAGAAGAAATAAATGAAGGAAATTAAATAGCCCTGTTAGATTTGATTTCTAAGAGATCGTAATTAGGAAATGAAAAAGAACTTGAAATCTTACCGCCGCCACTATGACGCTCGAAGTCCTTTGAATTAGGAGAATTTGCAAACCACATTTTTCGAGGATCGTCAACTATACTTCTCTTTTCTTTTCTCCTGGCATTTTACTGGGGAACTCCGTTAACTATGTATACTTTTTTTTTGAACTGAGTTAACTACGTACGTAATTACTTATACTGCTATGTGTACCAGGTCAGCTTGTTTGAAGGGTCAAAGTTGATGGCTTGCCATTTTCCACTATAAAATCTCAAGTTGATTCCACAAGTGCAGAAAAATTACTATATTAGTGTATTAGTAAACAGCATCGCCATATAGATCCTAATGCAAGGGTGATATAATCGATTAATTATAAAATATCAATCAAGATTAGTGAATCTACTAGTCTAATGAACACTAATAATCACCTCTCACCCACTGATTATGTATTAAATGAGATTCATTAATCTAATATGTTTGTAAACGATGGAGCAATGCTATTGACCTTTTTTGTTTACATAATTCATTATAATCATTGAATTGATTGTAGATTCCGTTAAATATTAAAATTTAGTATTAATCCAATAATTACAATAAAAATAAATCATTAAATCAACAAATCAGATCAAACTTTTATGTCTAAATAACATTGTGATACGTAACCCCGGATTAAATCTTTTCTCTTTCCGGCTTTGTCACCCTCAAATGAATCATGTCTCTATTTCCTTCCTAGTTGGATTGTTTGGTACGGTGGTAATGCTATCGAATTAGGAACGATGAGGTTAATTATGATTTTGATTTTGAGAGTAAGCACACTATATGTTAAATTAATCAGCAAAGTCATTAATAAAGTCAGCTTTCACATTGATAAAATAAAATTATGTTAAATTATGAAAGTGTTGACAAATTCAATCGACACACGCATGCATGGTAAAAGAACACATGTTACCTAATCTCTTGTCTTTTCCATACACATTTATAAGAGTCGTGAAGGTGGGCTGCAAAATACATCAAAGGTGTTTGGTGTACCTAACTAAAATATATATTTATTTATGAGTAATATTATTTGAACTTAAAATTTTGACTCTATTTATTACCTTGATGGCGTGACCTAATTAAAATTGATGATGCACAAAAATAGTTTTGCACACCACCTGTCAAGTATAGATAATAAATGCAATGAAATCAACGAAAAAATTAGAGAAGACACAATTTATAGTGGTTCGGTCAATTCGACCTACGTCCACTCTTCAATGGCTTCAGTCGCCGGGTATTTTATTGATTCAAAGGTATGGAGAATGAAGATACAAGCTTTGAGAGGGGGAATGGAGAATCAAAGAAAATAATAATCTCCGGTAGTGAGTTCGTCTTCTGTAAGTCTCTGATGAGCATGTGTCCTTCCTCTCCCAGATTAGAGCCATTTTATAGTAGCTAAGAGATCATTCTTGTGGAGATCATGACATATCCTCAAGGCTTCTTTATCGCAGCTTAGAGATTATCTTTGGTGGAGATCACGACTTATCCTCAACGGAAGGAAGTGGTTGGGGAGCTCTTAATGAAACGTGATCAAAGATTGGACCGTTTCCTTCCTTCGGTGGTGCAGATAAGCTTCCCGTGCTCTCCTCTTGGTGACGTGCTAAGCAAAAAGTTTAGCCGGCCTTGGGCTGTCTTGGACTTGGTGGATTTGGACTGTTCCTTAAGGCGGTACAGATAAGCTTCCCGTGCTCTCCTCTTGGTGACGTGCTAAGCAAGAAGTCTAACCGGCCTCAAGCTTCCCGTGATCTCCTCTTGGTGACGTGCTAAGCACGAAGTCTAACCGGCCTTGGTCTGTCTTGGACTTGGTGGATTCACAATGAGGTTGGGCTCCTCAACCAGGGCTGGGCTTTAATACATAAATTGGACTATTTGGGCTTAACCCATCATTTGCCCCCCGATGCCCCATGTCCAAGGAGACTTGGAGAAGGAGGCATTGATTATATATATATTTTTTTTAAACTTCAAATCTTTCCCATTTTATTTTGAAAAGGGAGTGGTGGAGGTTGAAAAAAAGAAAAACGGCTGGGCGGCGCAGGCGCGCGGCTTGGTGCGCGGCTGCGCAGCGCAGGCAGGCGCGCAGCGCAGGCAGCGCAGGCTGCGCAATGCAGGCTGGGCAGCGCAGCGCAGGCGCGCTGGGCAGTGCAGCGCAGGCTGCTGGGTGCGCGGCTGCGCAGCGCAGGCAGGCGCGCAGCTGGGCAGCGCAGGCTGCGCAAGCTGGGCAGCGCAGGCGCAGCTGGGCAGCGCGCGCTGGGGGCTTAGGCGCTGGGGGCCTGGGCGGCTGCCTAGGCTCTGCTCCTCGCATCCTGGACAGCCCAGGCACACTGGGCAGCTGCCTGGGCGCTGGCCTTGCTGTCCTAGACAGCTTCAGATCTGCTGCGCTGGGCGACTTTGGAACGCTGGGCAGCAGCATTTTTTCATCAAGGGGCGCTGAAAATCAGTCCAAGGTTCGTCAGGGAGAGCTAGGCAGTGGCCTGGGAGCATGGGCTGATCCGATTCCCACTCGAGGTGCTGATTTGGGCGTCTTAGGTGCTGATTTTTACGCCGAAAATTCTGCTTTGCGCAATTTTGAAGGGCCAGACAGCCTTCAAGCTATTGGACAACTTTGTTTTGACGAGCAACAGCAGTCAGGCACACTTCTAGGCATTGGGCTAGACATTGCAAGTAGTAAGGAACCTTTGGGTGCTGCTCTTGATGATCAAGCCCTTCTCCAGGTGTTGGGCGCTTTGGGTGAGCCTGGGGCTGCCTCGGGAGAACCTACTTGTGATGACAAAAATAATGTTATTCTAAACATTAAAATATCTCACATAATTACCTAGAGAGAGAGAGAAGTAGGCTGCTTGCGCGAGAGCAAAGACAGAGTTGGAGAACTGCTCGTGAGAGAGCTACACTTTTTGAGACCTAGCTTTTGGCGACCCATGAGGGAGTCTTTAAGCTTGAGGTATAAGCTTCCTGTTTGAGAACAGTGCAGAGGCCAAGCTTTTTTGGTGACCCGTGAGAGAGCCGCTAAGCTGGAGATAGGCTGTCTGTTTGAGAACAGTGCAGAGGCCAAGTTTTATTTTGTCTTTTTTTTTTTTTTTTTTTGCGATCCGTGAGAGAGCCGCTAAACTGGAGATAGGCTGCCTGTTTGAGAACAGTGCAGAGGCCAAGTTTTTTGGCGACCCGTGAGAGAGCCGCTAAACTGGAGATAGGCTGCCTGTTTGAGAACAGTGCAGAGGCCATGTTTTTTGGCGATCCGTGAGAGAACCGCTAAACTGGAGATAGGCTGCCTGTTTGAGAACAGTGCAGAGGCAGGTCAAGTTTCTGGTGATCTGTGAGATGATTCACCTTGCCTAAACTTGTTGATTTTCTCAGCATTCATATATCTTTGAGCTTTTGTGAATAGTTCTGGCATGCTCTTCGGTGGGCGCTTCAGAACTGAGAAAAGGAAACTTGATGAACGGAGGCCACCCAAGAAGGCGGTCATCGTCACCTTGTCGTCGGGTTCATCAACTTGGAGTACCTCCTCGTTAAAACGAGTGAGGTAACTCCTCAGGCTCTCCTCGCGGTCCTGCTTTATACTAAGCAGGTGCGTAACTGGCTTCTGGTGGCGACGCCCTCCTATGAAGTGTGAGACGAATGATCTGCTAAGCTCGGCAAAAGAGGTAATAGAGGCGGGGGAGAGCTTAGCAAACCACTGTCGGGCAGACCCCTTTAATGTGGTTGGGAATGCCCTGCACATGATTTCGTCTGGTACGTTGTGCAATTGCATCAAGGTCTTGTAAGTGTCGAGGTGGTCCAGTGGATCCTTTGTTCCATCAAAGGTCTCCACAGATGGCATTTTGAACTTCTGAGGGAGGGGGTAGTTTGCTACATCAGGTTTGAAAGGGGTATCAGTACGCCTTACCAGGTGGTCAACAGTCTCGGGTCCTTGTGCCTTCATGGCGTTGAAGACATCACCGAGTTGATTCTGTACCTCCTTTATCTTCTCGTCCCAATGATTGGGGGCTCTTCTGGAATGATCATGGAAGTGGCTTCCATGCCCCATGCTTTGATTTTCACCCTCATCCTCCTGGAGATAAGGGTCCTCTCCTTGGAAAGCAAGGGGAGGGGGAGGTGCAGCTCCCTCATGTTGGGCTTTCCGAAGTGGGGTGCCCAATGGGGCACCCGGGCGTGGAGCAACAGGGCGTGGTGCTTCTTGATGTCCAGGATGTGGAGCTCCTTGGGGTGCTCTATGTTGTGCACCTCCGTGGGGCCCTCCATGTGGTGCTCCATGTTGTGCACCTCCATGTGGTGCTCCACCTTGGGGTCCTCCATGTTGTGCACCTCCGTGTGGTGCTCCACCTTGGGGTCCTCCATGTTGTGCACCTCCGTGTGGTGCTCCTCCTTGTCCAGCAAGTATGAGTTGCAGTAACTGTTGGTTTTGAGCAACCAGTTGCTGCATGGTCTCCAATATTTGTTGGGGATTCGGGGCTAGAGTATCCGGAACAGGGTTGATAGGCGGGGGAGCAACCTCCTCCTCTCGTGGAGGATTGTCTTCGTGTTGGTTCATGGATCGAGTGTAGTGATCGCCATTAGTTAATGGACGTAATGTTCAGGAGTGAGAATTTTGTCGTTTCCCACAGACGGCGCCAAACTGATGATGCACAAAAATGGTTTTGCACACCACCTGTCAAGTATAGATAATAAATGCAATGAAATCAACGAAAAAATTAGAGAAGACACAATTTATAGTGGTTCGGTCAATTCGACCTACGTCCACTCTTCAATGGCTTCAGTCGCCGGGTATTTTATTGATTCAAAGGTATGGAGAATGAAGATACAAGCTTTGAGAGGGGGAATGGAGAATCAAAGAAAATAATAATCTCCGGTAGTCGGTTCGTCTTCTGTAAGTCTCTGATGAGCATGTGTCCTTCCTCTCCCAGATTAGAGCCATTTTATAGTAGCTAAGAGATCATTCTTGTGGAGATCATGACATATCCTCAAGGCTTCTTTATCGCAGCTTAGAGATTATCTTTGGTGGAGATCACGACTTATCCTCAACGGAAGGAAGTGGTTGGGGAGCTCT